ATGGCGGTAAATGCACCAGAAGTTGGTTTGCCATCCGCCATAAAACGTTATTAGAAGAAGACCCTCAGGTATGGCAGTTAAATTTCACCTGTGCACAGACTCATCTCTGCCGTGCTGTTCTCTGACAGCTGAGCCCACAGACACCCCTTCATCTCCGCTAACAGAGCGAAATGCTGAAATGACCCGCTCGACGGCTCCAGCCTAGAATGAACAATGCGAGAAATATACAGAATGTTTACCTGCATGACTCTGGTGGCACGTAAGTTAATATATATATATAATTTTCATTTCATTTCAAAATTTATTTATTTATTTTTATCTGTTTTTAATTTCTCGTGCTTTGTTATCCACGTAAACAGACTGTAGCCCTTGGTGACCACGTCTTTATTCTATTTCTTAGACTTATGTAACAATGAACAGGATTTATCCCAGGCTTACTTGAGCAGAATATGTCCTGCACCTCCCGCAAATAAACGGCAGCCGTGGAGAAGTGAAGCGTAGGGTTTGTCTGAACAAGGTCATTTTCCACTTCTTACTAAATCCGTTCTGAAATAACCAACCTTTAATACATAACGTCAGTTGTTAAAATAGTTTATATAAAATTTTCTTCCGGATCAGTATAACGGCGTCACGCTTCATCTGAACCTATAGCCCCGCCCCTAGATGAGGAATTCTGCTATGGCGAATGCTTAGCTTATGAATATTAATTATTTAACGTGACGTTCCCACAGTAGGTTTATCTGATTTGCTGAAAGACCGACTATATATGAATATTAAATAGTTTGACTTGGTGCTTCAGGAATGTTTCTAGCCTGACGTAATTAATATTCATAAGCTAAACTTTATCATAGATTCGTTAGAGAATAGGTTTATTTTCTAGTCTCAGGAATGTTCTATTATGTTTTCAGACATGATACAGTACTGTACATTCGACAGAACTATATAAAACCGTTAATTCTTTGCAATGTAGTTTATAGTTATTAGAGAATAAACCACAAGGTGGCAGTACTACATCACACAGACAGTCCTCTGTTTTGACAAGTAGACATCAGCGTCATGGACCCAGTATTTTTTGAAAAATGAAATAATCCAATATAGATACATATTTCTTAAGAATTTCTCACAGTTGACTTTATTTCGTAATAAATAGTAACTGCTGCTCCGTTGGTCTTCTAATATAAAACTAATAGGCCTACTCTGATACTATTTCATAAACTTATCAAAATTAAAAACACATAAAAAGACTATTAGTTTCAAAATTAGTCTTAATTTTGATTGAACTTGTGAAGATTTTTCTTCTTCACTTATGCAATAAAATAAACAAAAATATGCCACACGGGATGTTGTCATTTTGACAGGTAATATAAATCCATAATCATACCCACATGATGAAATTGTGCAAGTGTAACAATATATCCCAATGTAGAAATGCCCCCAGGTACTGTGAGGTTGAACTAAATCAGTTCAGTTGACCTTTATTAATTTGTCAGTGTACTTTTGAATGTACATATTAATGCACCCTCATATGCAAGTCTAAATGAAGATCCGGTGGGCTTTGTAACTTGCGTAGATCGAGCTGACAAGTTACGCCATTGGTTCCCATAGTAACCAGTGTGTTCTCCGCCATGTACGAACGTCATTGGTTCCCCATGGGGAGAGTCTGTCTTTCTCTCCCTTTAATAGTTACATTGTGCCAGTGTTGACTAACACAGATGAAAGCGTACACTCATTGCAAAGAACTTCCAACTTGATTATCGTCAAACCTGTTTCTAATAAAACCTCCATGGATGTGGTTTGACCAACACTTGTTCTTGACGTAGTAAATATGAAGAGATGAACAATGCAAGTATTCTTATTAACAGAAGGCCTTGTGTTGTTTATTGTAATTTTCTGATTGTTTAAATGAGATTCAGACAGAACTTTTGTGACAAAGGCAATTCACACTTGGTCTTTGGATGACATCTCGGTCTCCTTGACTCCGGTGTTTTGAGGATGTCAGTCAGTCAGTTCCAGCTTAGAAAGGAAGTGAGTGAATGGAATCTTGATCAATTGCTCTAGTCTTCTGGAATCTTAAGAATGTCCTCTGTTCTGGCTTGTACAATTGCCACTATCTCATGGCCTGTTGAGACCGATTTTACATCTGGAGTCCCAGACACCACCGTGATGTAAAAATAATAGTAGCAATTCCCAAATGAACCTCTTACTTACCCTTTAAAATCTTTTAATATACTACTCTGACCTCATAAAAACCCATTCAACTTCTGTTATTGAAGCTTTAAACTTTGCTGTGTCACAAAGTTGGCATGCACTTCTGAGAGGTGCACAAGGCAAACCTGACCTGAAGAGATTCCGTAAAGCTCCATAAATCTGCATTGTAAAAATGCTACTAATTTTAACGAATAAGAATGTAAACGTGCCAGTTAACTGTAAGTTACCTTACCAAATACAGAAAAATATGTATTTAAAAAGTAAAATATTATTAATAAGTATGATATCCCTTATTTATATTTTTTATTGTTAAACAAGGCAATACACGTACATTTTGGGTAAATTATTTATTAAAATTTATTGTATTATAATTAAATTTTTTAAAGTGAAAAATATGAAGAAATGTATATGTAGAAATGGGAACTGATAGAATTCCACAAATCATCACATTTGTTTAGATTTTAAATACACAACATTCATAAGTTTAAGGTTGTTTTTAATGTTTTTGTACCAAGCCTGCATTTATTTGTTCAAAAATACAGCAAAAACAGAAATATTGTGATATGTTAATACAATTTAAACTGACTTTTTTTTTCTATTTTAATACATTTTAAAATAATTTATAATATATTTATAATTATAATTTATTCCTGTGATGGCAAAGCTGAATTTTCAGCAGCCATTACTCCAGTCCTGTGTCACATGATCCATCAGAAATCATTCTATAATATGCTGATTTAGTGCTCAAAAAGCATTTATTAGGCTACTATTTTCAGTGAAAATAATGGTTGTGCTGCTTAATATTTTTGTGGAAACGGTAATACATTTTAGTGATGCATTCACTGATGAATAGAAAGAACTGTTTATTTTAAATAGAAACCTTTTGTAACATTTTATAGTTTAATGACAAAATTTCAACAGCAATATTTTCACTGTAAATTTAACAAAAACTATTTTAGCATATTTCATTCTTCAGACCGTGTAAGAATGTTCAGATTGCACAAGTGAGTCAGCTTATTTGCATATAGCCTACATTCTGACATTAAAGTGATCCATTCAGACCTCACAGAAATGAGCGGAATGTCAGTCCAAGTGCTGTTTTTCCATTCGGTCCCTTCACCTAATTATAGCCAGTTGCATAATAGTGTTCTTGAGACTTCAGAAACATTTCATGTGGCCCTGCCACAACTCTCTCTCTCTCTCTCCCTCACTCGCTGAAGTCCGGGTAAGCTGGAATGCATTGACGTCAGAGGAGGGAGAGCGCTCGAGAGCTCGAGCGCTAGAGCAGAAGTGAGCACGCGAGCACTGCGGAGCGACGCGCGCAACGCTACATTCCTCGTCGGACAGCGGGCATCATTTATTGATTAAGACAACAGTGAGCGGATGTTTGAAGCCGTTAGGAGGCGATTTTTTTGTGTAGCCTTCAGAAAAATACTCGAGGGAAGCTGAGAATATTTCCAACGGATGCTCGTTTACATATAGACACCTGAAACGCTGCGTACCACTTTATATGGTAAGTTATTCTAGAGTACAAATGCGTTTGGTGTATTTAGCTATTTGTTGAATTGAATACTGAAGTCGTCCTTAGTGATTTATATGTAGGATATCAGAAGCAGGATTGAGTTTCATTTGAGATCGTTGAAAGCGTGCCAGAGTGTAATAGTTGGATGTTATTGTTTGTGTTATGGTTAATAATGGTGATTTTAATTATTTTATGTGTGTAGTTATTGTTTTATATGTGTCATTTCATATAGCTAGCAGGTCTTTTGCTAGTATAGAGATTGAATTATTAAAGGTGAGTTGGAAGATGTGGTTGGCAGACAAACATTGGGTCAGAGGCTTTGCATTGTGCTGGCCTGCATTTCGGTTCTCTCTCTCTCCTTCACACACACACACACACACACACACACACACACAGTATGGAAGTCACCCTATCCTCCTGTCTGTGTATTCCTAGCCTTGGAGACATCCAGGGGCATCTGACAGCATGGCACACAGCAAGTAAGAGAAAGAAAACAAGACAAAGAGAGAGACAAGGATAGAGAATGAGAAGGGGTCCGTTTTTTTTATTATTATTATTTTGTATTAATTTATGTACAGTATGTCTGTTTTTGTTTTGCACAGTTTTATTGCATGCAGAGAAACTGCAAATGCTGTGGCAATACGAATGTACAAAGATTTGTCATGCCAATAAAACACATCAAAATAGAAAACTGTTCCTGTGGTCATGGAAATTTTAGGGAATTTTAAGGTCATAGAAATTCTTTAAAATTTCCATGATTTTTCACTCACAAAGAGCATTTCTTAGCTATATTTACAATTCATTATATATTATTTTTAATTATGTGTGTGTGTGTGTGTGTGTGTGTGTGTGTATTAGCTGGAATACATAAGTGTATATATTTCTAGTTCATGAAATATTTAAATATAAGAAGAATTGCATTCATGATCTATATTTCATAAATATTTCATGAGCTAGTAAATTGTATATATTTCTGGTTCTTTAAATATTGAAAAAAACAGGATATTTTTATTAAAAATTTCATGAGCTAGAAATTTTTCCATAAGTGTGGGAATCCTGTAACAATGATGTAATTTTTGAACTGAGATGTTTTATGGGATTTAAATGGAATACTAGGTGAGATTCTGAGTAATACGATCCAAAGGATGCTGGATAAAGTCATTAGACTGTTATCTATATGGTCTTCTATGGTCTGCATCACTGTAGATACTTGAGTGTGTATATATAGCATGCAGCCAAAGTCCTAGACTCAGCAGTGTGTTTGTTTGTGTGCACATGCATGTGTGTGAGCATATGTGCGAGAACATGGTGTATGCGCGTACTGGCAAACTACCAAGTTTGTGGGTTACACAGTGATTCTTTTGTGCCTCAGATTAAAAAGGATAAGACATGTGCGTGTGTGTGTCACAGTAGTGTCCTAAGACACTTCAGCGCCATCACAAGGCAGGCCTGAGGGAATTGGGACAAGAGGGGAGCGCAGGTCACCTAGATCAAGTTTCACCTACATTGTTGGGACCAAATTTCTTCCAACTGGCTGTTGTTTGTCCTGCTGCGCAGCAGATTTGTGTTTACAGACAAACTGCATGACACTGGAAACTTATATGGGTTAAGTTTAAGGATTTAGTTTTAAAATTTAAAACCAAGTGGAAAGAGAAAGACAAGTCATAAAAAGAGCGCATAATAAAGTCTCCCCATGAGCTTTGCATCAAAATGAAGCAAGCTACCTCACTGTCTACCTTCTAAGATAGCATTTTATTAGTCGCGAAACCTCATAAGTGATGAATTTGTAACAGTCTACATCAGCAACAAATAGCACTCTATGGACTTGACTTTGCCATTTTTTTCAATGGACTTCGCCATTAGCATTAGCAAAGCTAAACACGATATTCTAAGCACTGTCCACAAATATTGGGTAAAATAAATTATTTTTATAAATAATTTATCATAATTATATAATAAAAAAAATAATTTTAAATATGTGAAAAAAAACTAGAGACGTCTGTTTGTTTGTTTTTTTAAAGATTAACTTTTAACTTTAGTGGCTCATGGAAAGCCGTCTTGTGTGCAAAATCTAAGCTCAGTGGTCAAATGTATCCATCTAGTCATGTTTTCAGAGAAAAGTGGAACAGTGGAATGCAAAAATGTGTTTTGTGTGAATGGCCCTATAGAGTATATTTAGAATTAACATTTCTTACGTTGTCCTCCATCTTGAAGCTAATTGCAATGCATTCTGGGATTACCTTCTCCCAGATTCTACACTTCCTTTGAATTTGGACTAAATTTGGTAACTTGGGAGGCAGATACCTACCTTTTTAGAACAGTCAGGAGTGTGCCCTTAAAAGTTTCCCTCAGTAGGCACTAGGCAGTTTACTAGGATTTGCAACACTGGATCTCATTCGGCCCAATTCACAACACCTGTGTATGCACATTAATTTGTTCTTAACCTCGTTATTCTAAATGAGCGACCACATGCCCAAGGTTAGTCATTTGCATAAAACCCACCCAAACCATTTCCATATAAGGGCTTTCTGAAGAACCTTTCATTTACTGCTTTTAGGGACTATTAGCAAACACATGATGCTCTCTAAAGATCTAAATATCTATATATAAAATTTCATCTTAATGTACCATAATTATAAAGCCACCCAGAATATTTGTTTTGCATATGTGTGGTGTACATTTTTTCTTAATTTACAATACATTTTTAAAATTAAACAAAAATTATTAAATGAAAATTATTTGTGAATCATGGTTTGTTCGTGAAAATGTTTGCACGACGCAGATTTCAGGCAATGTATTCAGACCCACTGCCTGAACATTTGCATGTTGGTGCTAGTACTATATGAATTTTACCAATAGACCAGAGGTTCAAATGTTTTACCGTTTGTGTGAGTGTACACGTTAATGCACTTCAAACAGCAGGCACGCTGACCTCATCACCATGAATGTTGCATGATGGGAACATGGGGCGATGAGATCATATCTAAAGGCAACCCCATTATATTCTCCCCAACTCTGCATCTCTTTCACATCTCTTTCACATCTCTTCACTCTGCTCGTCCATCAGCCCTCCCTCCTCCAAAAGGGAGAGCGGGATGACTCATCCTTTCACACCTCTCCCCTGGTGCCTCCTGTCAGACCGCGAGCCTCTTGACAGCCCCGCGTACGGGTTTGTGTTTCGTATCGGCGTACAAATGAGTCTGGTCTGTTTTCTTGCCTTTGACGCTCATGCAGCGGGTGACAAAAGACCCCAGCGTCTCAGGCAGCGGACATTTTCTCGCAGAAACACTGAGCCTGCTGGATTCCCAACTCCTCGACGTGCGAGTTCCTCGCTTGCAGAAAGGCAAGGAAATGCAGGAAGTGCCATGTCTGTGTATGTTAGCATGTATGCGTCTTGTGTAACTGTGAGAGTCATCCTAAACTGCGGATGCTGGGTTTCTGCCTAAGCGCTATCAGGAGGAAGCACCATGTGTGCTCCCCACTCCCTTTAGGAAATACTGCCATGCTTTATAAATGATAGAGCTGAACATGGAAAGGGTGGACAGCCCTATCCTTCCTCAATATGGAGGCCAACTGGTCTTTGTTACATAATGTACTGTTTTTGCTCTTTCATTCTTCTTTCATCTGGCTCTGTTTTTCTTTCGGTCTCAACCACTAAATAAATACATCTCACAAAAGGCAACAAAACGTCAAAGTTTTGACAAAAACAAAAAGTTTTTGCTCACCAGTGTGTCAGAAGCAGGATGCTCTGACTTAGAAACAAACTAAAACAGATCTGATTCTCTTCTGTCAAATGAATCATTCACCCAAAAATGAAAAGTCAGTCATTGAAATCACCCTCATGGCGTTACAAACCACCTTTTTTTTCTTTTGGAGAACGCAAAAAGAAATGTTATGAAAAATGTTCACGCAATGAATGTCCACACAATGAAAGTTCTCACAACATATCATTCATACATGCAGCTTTTCTAAAATATAATGTGTATGTGGAGCGTAAATGTTTGCATATGTGAGATGTTGGTGAATAATAAAAACTTTTCATGTGTAATTTTGTTCCGATCTACCACAAACTCAGTCCGTCAGACAAAGGGCAGGTTATTTTAGCAGCATTGATTTCAACAGACAAGAAAAGCTCTGAGTACACTTCATTTTCATATGTGTGCTTGTGTGTGAGCATGCATCATTGTAGTATTTTAGTATTATTTATGTACTATTATAGTATTTATTAATAATTTGAATTGTCATTTTAAATTTAGTTTTAGTTTTAATAATTTTATATACTTTAAAAAATATATATACTTCCATTTAGCTATTCTGTTTTTGTCATAGAACTTATTTTTCATTTTAATTTTATTTTACTTATTTTCAGTTAGTTGCCAAGGCAGCATTTCACCTAATATTTATATAGATTTTATTTCAGTTGTATTTCAATGAACAAAAACTATTTTTTATTAGTTTTAGTTTTAGTTAACAATAACATAGGCATCTTAGACGGGCATCATAGCATTAGTGTCCTGTTCAGCCTCTATCACTGGTCATTAACTATTCAGCTCTTTCCATCAAACCACACACACATACACACACACACACACCCTAATAATGATATCACATTACATGTATTGATCTACACCATTTGTGCTATGCTTCGGTCACCCGACTCCTCTGACGCTAGGTCCCAAAATGCACTCTTCTCCTCTCACTCCCCTCTTTTTCCACTCTTCTCTTTGTATCCAATCCATTAGAGCATATTTATCTATATTTATTTTTATTTAATTTAATTACATTTTTAATAATTTTTTGATGCTGTCTTGTTTGTTTGCTTTTGTTTAGGTTTTTTGTGCTGTGATGTCTTTTGCGGGGGTTGTTGTTTTGGTTTTTGTTTGATTTTGTTTTGCTTGGGTTTTAGCTCATTTATGATGTTTAAAGTCCCTTAAATTCTTACATTTGCATGTATACCAACTGTTTGAATAAAATTGTTCTTAATCACAAATGTTTGGCAATTGCATGATACAACGAAATTGCAAACAATTTGTCTAATACAATAGGTGACCTCAAAATTAATGTCACTGCCTGCAATCGCAGTATTGAATGGGTTTTGTCTTAGCATGCATTATGACGTCACCTCCAGGTTCGGCTGAAATTGTAGTAGACAGCCATACTCGTGCTTGGACATGCAGTTATTGTCACTCCCTATAAGACTGATAATAGAGGAGTTCTCTGTTAAGTAATAGTGTGGATTTGTTTGAATTTCTTAGTAATAGTAACTACTGTTGCTAAGTAACTGCTGTACTATGAAGTAAGCCCGGTGTGGCTTTAATAATCGTTTGCTTCTGAGACAATTGGTTAATTGTTTTTTTTTCGAAAGATTTAAGATCAGTGTCTGACATTCTTATAGGCAAATACCAACAGTACTCGTCTTCTCTTGAGCAAACACATAAGATCAGTATATAAACTTGTTAGACAGCTTACCTTGTGCTCCCTCCAAACACTCATCTTCCTCTCTTCAATAACGCTGTGAATGTGAAAGCAAGTGCAGTTTACATCTATATGTAACACTGTCTGTTTCAACACAAAGAGCACTACATCCCCTCCACTTAAAAATTCCTAAAAGGGTTTTCCAGCCTGATGCCATACGAAAACCTTTTAACATTCTATTAAGCTGTACCACACAAGTGAGAGTGCTGTTTTATGGTTGTTAGCACATTCCTATACAGTTGTTAGGGTGTTATGGGGCATTTCCAGGTCATTATTGGCTATGTTGTTGCTAAGGTATTCTCATATAGTTAGGATGTTGGTTTGAATGGTGTTTTGACTGGCAGTTGACTCTGTGGTTGCTAGGGTGTTGCTATGGGATTGCCAGAATTGTGGGTGGTTGCAAGGGTGTCGCTATGCTGTTGCTAATGATTTCTGATTGGTTGTTGACATGTTGCTATGTATGATGACATGAAACTTTCCAGAATTTTTGGAAACTTTCCTGGATTTTTGGGGAAAATTTACAGTGTTTCCACATGGTTTACGGCTTTTTTAAAATTATATAAACAAAATTTATATATTGATATAAACTGATTTGTTTATATCAATATATATTGATATAAACAAACCCGTTTATATCAATATATAAATTGATAACATCAATTTATCAAAAGTTTAACAAAAATTACATGTTTAGGGCCCTATGGAATGTTTTATTTTTTCCAACCTTATGTTTTATTGTTACCAAAACATGTCTAGTTATTTGAAAGCATAAAAACAAGTTTCATTTATTCTTACAATAGCCTAATGATTTTTTCCCTCAGAAATTCTGTGTTGTGTATTTACATTTTTTAAGGCATAAAACAGTCATTTAATTTATCTTTTAATTAATGAAAATTAAAAAAAAATATTTTGGGAAAATAAAGGGGATTTAATATTACAATTAAAACAATGAAGAAATATTGTACGATTATTCCTTAAAAATAAGGTTTTAAATTTTTAATAGTAGTAGTAGCCTATTATGTACATTCTACTGAACAATAGTAATATATTTCTGCCGCCGTGTCTTCAAGTTAAACCAAACTTTTATTTTGACAGGTTGCCGTGAATACCTTTACATTCCTGTGTTTATATGATATGAGGATCGTTTTACTCAAATGAAACAGTCAAATGCTCATGAAGTGATTCTCGGTGCAGTTCTGGAGATGTTGTTCATGTATTTATGTCCTCATAAGTGAGACGGCAGACATTAATATCACCGGAAGCAGCATGCGCGCTTACGAGTAGTACACAAAACCACTCGTCTGTGCCATTCATTAACACATAGACACGCAGAATTCATGTTTAAATAGTCGTTTTGCGGCTTAATATTTACAAATACTAGTGGGAGTGGGAGTGTGCTCACTTGTGTGTGTGCATCGGGGCGGAACTCGGCTGTGCGCGATGCAGAGAGCTCGACCATGTAACGTAGAGACAGAAATGACATGCCGTCGTGTAAATAAGATAAATAACATAAGGCTATTTAGTTTAAAAGAACGAGGTATAGACCTGTTCTATAGGAAAGGTAACTTTAAACGACTTCTGTTGTGATCTGGTTTAAATGACTTCTGTTGTGATCTGGAGAAAATAACTCAATCCTGAATGATCTGGCGCTATAGAGAAAATAAAATTAACTTGATCTTCAAGGGGAGTTGGGGGGGTTGGGGGTGGACGGCGCTGATTTAGAAAAATGTTGGAATGTTTCTGGAAATTTACTGGAAATTTTCCACCATGTCACAACCCTAGTGGATGTTTACCAGGCCAATGTTATACTGTAGATAAGGTGTTTTGATTGGTTAACATGTTGCTGTGTGGTTTCAAGGATATTATATATGGTTTCCAGGGTGTTGCTATGTGATTGCTAATGCTGCTGTGCGGTTGCTAGGGTCGCTAAAGCTATGGATGGTTGCAGTGGCATTGCCAGGTGTTCTGATTGGTTGACTGTATGTTGCAATGCGGTTTCAAGGATGTTGCATCACTAATTAGATCAGTTTTCCCCATACATGAGATAAAATATCATTATAACTAATATGTCTAAGGTCTGCTGTTTACATGTGTCATTTCTTCACTGTCATTATCTCTTTTTTTGTTTTCCACAGATGATGTCTCAGTAGAGCTCCAGTTTCCTTCAGCTCCCCCTGGTAAGAGAGCCCAGTCCTTCAACTGTACCTCCACTGCTTGATCCAAAATGGCTGCCACCAAAAGCGGTTACGAGGGCAAGATAGCCGGCCTATATGACCTAGACCGCACACTGGGCAAAGGCCATTTCGCCGTGGTCAAACTAGCCCGTCATGTATTCACAGGCCAATTAGTAGCAGTCAAAGTGATCGACAAGACAAAGCTTGATGACTTAGCGACTGGCCACTTGCTTCAAGAAGTCCGCTGCATGAAACTCGTCCAGCACCCCAATGTAGTGCGACTCTATGAGGTCATCGATACGCAGACCAAGCTGTACCTCATCCTAGAGCTGGGCGACGGAGGTGACATGTACGATTACATCTTGCGTCATGAAGGAGGGGTGGCTGAAGACATGGCGAAAGTGCACTTTGCGCAGATCGTACGAGCAATAGCCTACTGCCATCGTCTGCACGTTGTCCACAGAGATTTGAAGCCGGAGAATGTGGTGTTCTTCAGGCAGCAGGGGACGGTGAAGCTGACAGATTTCGGCTTCAGTAACCACTTTCAGCCTGGGACAATGTTGATGACCAGCTGTGGTTCACTGGCATACTCTGCCCCAGAAATACTGTTAGGTGAAGAGTATGATGCTCCAGCAGTGGGTAAGTGACAAAACTGTCTTTTTTTGGATGTTGTTTCATTCAGCTAGTCAATCAGAATGCATTTAGAATCCCTGTAGATCACATTTGATTCAGAAGATTCATCGATTCCGAAGATTCATAGTTTTAAAGACTCATAGATTTAAGATTATAGAGAATAAAAGATGCATTTCAAAGAATCAAAGATTCATAATTTCAAAGCTTCATAGATTTAAGAATCTAATGATTCTAAAGATTCATAGATTCAAAAGAGATTCTAAAGATTCGTAGTTTCAAAGATTCATAGATTTTAAGATTTCAAAGATTGAAAGTTTCTATTCTGTCTGTATGTTTCCAAGTGTGTCATTTTATTCAGTCAATCAGACTTCAGTAGATGCTAAATCTGTCCTTTCGGACTCTTAATTTACATGCAGCGCAGTCAAACAAATCCGCCGAAGGATTAAATCGTGGAGGCGCGTGGGCCTGCGCATCAAACTCTGTGTTTGTGTCACAAGAACACCGGGACGCTTTGCTCTCCTCTCGCAGTTGATCCTCCCCTCCCCTCTCCCCACGTGCCTCTTCTGGGTTTAATCGCTGTTTTGCCAAGCGGAAATCTTCTACTGAATGAACAGCACATCTGTGCTCTAGCAGGGGTCAAGCTAAGAGATTTGTGTCAGGTCAGAACTACACATGACTCAATTGACTGCATTCAGAATCCCTGCAGCAAATTGGCATAAGAGACAAATTTTCATTGAATATCCAGAAAATTAAGGTGAAATCCAAACACCGTTTACTTTTGACATTGACAAAGACCATTAAAACCCATATCATCTGACCACAGTGAAGTATAGAATGTTTCTGCTGTCTGCTGTACATTTTTCTGTTGTGTCAGGCAGTGCTTTGGTCTGTGACTTTCTTGTACAGTATGTGCTTTAATGTTGTGTCTTTGAAAATAGTTTGGAGGATGAATGTGGCTAGCCGTGAACTCACGTTCCTTCTATCCATCATCCGTTCCATTGTTCAGACCCAGTCACCTTATTAAGCTCTAGAGACTCATTGTACGGCAAAGAGAGGAGGAGAAATGAAAATAAAGCAGATTTAGAGAGAGAGATGGGTATGGAGAGAGAGACAGATTCAGTGAGAGAGAGACTGAGGCAAGCAGAGAGACAGACTTTAGTTTAGAGGACACTTGAGCTTAACATTGACTCAGACAGGAGGATGAAGAGTAACAGGACCGACAACAAATTGTTCTGTCTCTCTTTCTCTTTCTTGTTACTTGTCTTGATCCAGTTCAATAGAGCTTTCTAGAGCACAGATGTGAGCGGAGCACAGACTTTGAACTACAGTATGTACTGTTCCATTTCACTGCTCTGAATTCAAACAATTCTAAAGATTATTAGGTTATGAAGATTCTAGAATGCCAATGATTCCAAGATTCCAAATATTCCAAACAATCTTTAGAATTCCAAGATTGTAAAGATTTTAAGATTACAAAATTATGAAAATTCAGTTTCAAAGAATTAATATTCACAGATCCTGAAGATGCTAATGATTTAAAAGATTTTAATAATCTGAAGATTCATTGTTTCAAAATAGATTTATAAATTCTAAAGATTACAAAAATTTAGTTTCAAAGATTCATAGATGTCAAGATTCCAAAGATTGAAAAATTCATACTTTCTGCAAATTCTTAAGATTCTAATGATTCTATAGATTTTACATGCTTCATAGATTTAACATAGATTCAGAGATTCTAAAGATTCATAGTTTCAAAGATTCACAGGTTTTAAAATTCCAAAGGCTGAAAGATACATAGTTTCAAAGATTCATAGATTGATTAATAGATCCATGGATTAAAGTATTAGATACACAGGTCTAAAGATTCTCATCTAAATATTCTAAAGCTTCATAGATTTAGGATAGATTCTAAGGATTCTTCGTTTGAAAGATTCACAGATTTTAAAATTCTACATTTGGACAGATTCATAGTTTCAAAAATGAATAGATTCATAGCTTTACATATTTATAGATTCACAGATTCTAAAGGTTCTAAAGATTTATAGATTCAAAATAGATGAAAAGATTCTAGAGATGTATAGTTGTAAAGATTCATAGATTATGAGATTCCAATAGATTGAAAGATTAATAGTTTCAAAGATTCTAAAGATAATTTTATAGATTTTAAATGGATTCAAAGATTCTGAAGATTCATAGTTTCAAATATTAGACATGCAAAAACTACATATTTTAAAAATATTCAAAAGTCATTAAGTTGCCCCAATGACTAATTGACTATTCCGTCTTGGGGAAACTTGGAATAATTAGGCCGGTTTTGGGTTTCCCTGACCTTGATCTGATGTGTTTCTTAGGGTGCATTCATACAGCTCAAGTTCTTGTGTTCAAAAATAGTTCGTAGTGCAACAGAATAGAACAGAACATGGGTATAGGGATGTGTTTTGCAAGTTGAACTATTTTTAGCTTGACACTCTTAAAAACGCAACACTCATGATGAACGATGAAAAAATGTCATGAAGCGGGAGACTCAGTGTATGATAAATACAGAGAAGGAGAGGTGAAGAGCCAGAGAGATAGACAGACTTTAGAGGACACTTGAGCTTAACATTGTGACACGGACAGGAGGATGAAGACTAACAGGACTGACATTGAACCTGTCTGTCTCTCTTGCTGTCTTTCTCTCGTTCCAGTTCACTTGGGATTTCTAGAGCACAGATGTGTGCTGAGCTGCCATGAGTACCCTTCCGCTCCTCTGCTCTGACATTATTAATATCATATTTGTATGATATTTTCTGCCAGAGCGTCATGTGACGGTGGAACAGTAATTCTCACTGAGGCTGCATGTGCCAGGATTAGATCTGCACAAACTGGGTCAGTCTCTGCCGAGACCCAGCAAAGCGTGCAAAGGAGGCTATACTCACACACACACGCTAGGATGCTAGAAGCGTGTGAACCTGAAGGCTTGTCTCACCTCTCTCCAAGCGAAATCTACCCATGGTAGAACTAGAGCAGATAAGGGCTGAGTAGTCATGCCTTATAAATGTTTAACTTACTGGGCCAGTCAGAATGAACAGTAAACATGCATATAAACACAATAGAGAAGCTTTCTTATAGCTGTAGTTTAACAGTTAGCATATTAGCCCGAATACATTGAGCCATTCAGGTGACACAGGCTCATCTCACTCTCAATGGTTCCTGTCTCCATATAATTCACGGTTTTTGAAGATGAGAGCATGTCACAACCTGCCCATGTTAGCATCTGGCTAATTTAGCTAGCTTCTACCAAGTTCACAGGTGCATTTATGGTAAAATACTGTAGAATTGGACACATATCCTTTGTAGGGCTACACAAATAATCAAAATAAATCACAGCACTAAGCTATAGCGTAATTTTGGTTTCAAGTGCTGTAAATATATGCGCAGCATGTTTCAGAGTGAAGCATGGCAACTCATGATCTGCTGTTTATAGTCTCTTGGTTCACAGTAAATGCTGCTTCACATGAACTTTAGATCCATCTGCTTTAAATCCCTTATAGTGTGCATTTGGGAGCACAACATGTGGCAACCATCTTCCTAAACTTACTGAAGCAAATGAGAAATGCTTATAAACTGGATTTGGCTGTTGTCAACAAAAGAGAAGCTTCAAGGTCTCCCTGCGGTTTTTCAGTCAAAATAAAAGGTTGATGGTTTAATGTCTGAAAATGAAGAAATTCATAAGAAAACGGTAAATAATAGTATTGTATTTTTATGTTGCCGTGTAAAATAAACCTATTATTATATAGTAATATAATAATTAAAATTGTAATTTTTTCTTAAAAATTTATTTTCATTTTAAAGTGAAATATTAAAATAGTAATATTTATTTTATCAATAATAATAAACAAAGAAGAATATCAATATTCATAATAAATTAATAATAATAATAGGTTTATGTCTTTGACATCAATGACAACAGATATGAGAAGCTTTTTATCCTCCCTTTTGATACTTTATTTTCTATTATAAAATGCAAATTAGCTAACTAACAATATAAATGTGCACTTTATAGTATTATTCTTTGTTGTTTATCTTCATTTTAAAGAATTTTTGTACTTGAAGTGCCTAATTACATTTTATTAGCACCAAAAATAGACCTAATAACATAACAGCTCTGGATGTGTTTGATTGTGCAGTGGTTTGTATTTCATGTGCTAAGTCTGTTCAATCAGCACAGTAGTGCCCATCGGCTGACCCTGTGGCCCGTTGCCTAGTGGATTAATCAGCTCCTGAAGTTTGCTGGGCACAGGCTGGCATCTGAAACCTTATATGGAAAGCTTTCTTGTCTAGCATTTTTAGGTCAAGCTGATGCCATTAACACCAGTAGCTGATATCTATAGTTTGAACTTGTGAACAGAAAAGAGTCTGTTTTCACTGTTATGTGCATGTGCAATATTTTTATTTATTTTTTATTTTTTTGCCTGAGACTGTGTATTTTTATGCGCGGCTGAATATTCATTAGCTCAGTGAGAGGTTTTATCCATAGTCAGTAATCAGCTGCTCTCTTTGTAAAAACAATAGAAATCAATGGAAAGTCATCACCATGACTGAAATCTCTCTCTCTCTATCTCTATCTCTCTCTCTCTCTATCTCTCTCTCTCTCTCTCTCTCTCTCTCTATCTGTGTGTGTGTGTGTGTGTGTGTGTGTGTTTGTGTAGCAGCTCAGTGTCATCAGGATTCAGATTGCTGATCAGAGATGTTCTGAGATAGATAAGCTGGGAGAGACTGACTCAGTGACATCTCACAAACTCACACGCACACACACACACACACACACACTTAACTGATAACACACACCTTCTCACTCTGCATTAAAGTTGTTTATAATGTTACAGAAGATTTCTGTTTCAAATAAATGCTGTTCTTTTGAATTTTCTATTTAGTGAAGAAACCTGAAAAATATAAATGACTGTTTCAACAAAAAATATTAAGCAGCACAATTGTTTTCAACATTGATAATAATAAGAAATGCTTCTTGAGCAGCAAATCAGCATATTAGAATGATTTCTGAAGGATCATGTGACACTGTACACTGGAGTAATGATGCTGAAAATTAAGCTTTGTCATCACAGGAATAAATTACATTTTAAAATAAATCAAAATAGAAAAAACAGTTGTTTTAAATTGTTATAATTTTCATAATTTTACTGTTTTTACTGTATTTTGATCGAATGAATGCAGCCCTGGTGAGCATAAGAAACTTATTTCAAAAGCATGAAAATCTTACCGAAAACTTCTGAATGGCATAGTGTAATTTTCTTAGATTCATAGATGTCCGAATATTCTAATAAATCAATTGATTTTAATATAAGGATTTCAAAGATTTTAAAGATTCAAAGTTTCCAAACATTATGAAATTTCTAAATTCAATAGATCTGAAAAAAAGATACTTTAAAGAAATGTAGGATTCCATATCAGAGATTTTCAATGATTTTTAAACATTCTAAAGATAAGATTCCAAGATTCAAAACAGTGCATTTCTACTATTATTGGATGTCTACTATATAGATTTTATATAGATATAGAGATTCTGCTCTCTACTATAATTGGAATTCATCTTAGAATTCTAGAATCTTAGAATCTGTACAAGACCTCAAGTCTCGAGACATTCTGTGTCACACACGGTTGTCACATTATATAACCTCAACACAGATCGACAAGCACAGCAGTTCCTTGGTAGCCTTCATTGTGTATAATGTGTTTTGTGTAAACTGCAGTCACATGGCACTCACACACAAGAGGTGTGCTACACTTAAAACTGTGCTCATGTTGGCTCTGAGGCTCTAAGAGTTGTCTTGCTGTGACTTATTTTACTTTAACAAGATGGAACAAGATAAGAAAAACTTACAATAACTCATTATTTCTGCCACCACCACACATAACATTATTTGTCAAGGCAGATGTTTTCTTACAAAGAACAAACCTAAGAAACAACTGCATAACTTATATTTGTGATGAAAAAATACTAAAGATTAAAGTTTAATTGAGAAAATAAGTTGAGTTCTAAAATTACCTGTAAATTTTAGTTATAACATTAATGCACTTATTTTATCAAGGATATCATGATTTTTATGCAGTTTGAACCCGGCAGCACTTCGGTGTCATGTTTCTATGCATGTCCGACCATATTTATATTAAGAACATTTGAGTGTGCTTAAAAAAATCCAATTTGTGCATTTCAATAGACATGAAATAACATGCTGCATGTATGCGTGTGCCAGTGCGAGACAACGCTCGTGTCTGTCTGTCTGTCTGTTTCTGTGGAGGAACACGCAGTACAGAGAGCAGAAGAGAGGGCTTATTGTTAGAGCAGCTAAAGACACTGTTTGGACAATGCTGTCTCTCTGGACTGTCTCTCATGCTGATCCTTTGCTCTAATCCATGCTCTTTCACACAGAATTTATACTCTCTCGCACACACACACACACACACTGAAACCAGCATGTCAGATTTGAAGCTGTTGTTTAAATGGAAAAAGTAAGAAGTTGGCACAGCAGAATGAATTTACTTTAAAGGCATTTTTGGGTGAATTACTTTTTTTTTATACTATAAATTATTATTATTATTTAAAAGATACATCATTTAATATATAAAAGGAGTGTAGTTATTATTATTATTACTCATTAATGATAATAATAATAAATGTAACATGTTAATAGTGTAACAGCATTTCTTTTATTAGTGGTGATGATGATGATGAAGTAATCAAGGTGGGTCATAGGTGATCCAAGACAAGGTTATTATCATTAATTAAAATTAATCCATTTAATCCAAAAGAAATGAAATAAACTAAGTGAAAATTAGAAAAGTTTTTTTAAATATTTTATTTTAGATTGAAGCACTAAAATAACTCAACCTAAATAAACTAATATCAGGGGGATCTAATGTTTGCATTAATCCTCTGGCCTTTTCTGAATTTCTGTAAACGGCAAAATGGAACTCCAAGAATACCACAGCCGTATTTAACTGCCGGTCAGGTCAGCGCACTAGACCAAAACTATGAATGAGCACATTCTCAGTACTCTTTCCTTTTGTAATCAAAGGTTAAATGAAATGTTATGAATATGAAATAAGTGATCTAACTGAGGAAATCTAAACTGATCCTACTATTTTAAAATCATCTCACTTAAAAGAGGAAAGCCTAGATCTCTCACCCATATTTGTAAGTTGTTTTTTTTCCCACACGCTCTATGCATGTCACACAGCTGAAAAAAATTAAAAGAGGAAGCTTGTTTTCTTGGAACGCCACCCTGGAAAATTACGCCACTAAAACAAACACATCATCACTTGTGGGACTTACACGCCCCCTCTCTTACCTTTCTCTCTTTTTCTTGTCCTGTTGACTCTGTTCTTGGTTCATGATATTCTGTAAGACTTCCTGGGATCCTTGGTTGACATTTCAGGGACATTTCGGTCAGAAACACATGTCTATAGGGCCCCATAGGCATAGCGATTGGCGATTAATGATTGGTAAAGTTAAGAGTTAATTATTGTCTGAGGACATACATTGACTCTGAAAAGGTTAAGGCTGGTTTTATTTGCATTTTAGTTTTGCTTAACCTCTCTTCGTGTATTGGTTGGTTTTGATAGTGTGAGCATGTGTCACATGAGGACTTCTGTGTTGGATAAAAACCCTTGACATGTTTCTTCCTCTTTTCTGCACAAATCCTTTTACACTTCTCTCTAGGGGTGTAAATATTTACTCTGACAACAATTTGATTCGGTTATGATTGCATCTTGAAATCATAGTGATGGTTTTTTAAAATAATGCTGACAGCACTAATTTGAATTTGATGGATTTTTATATATAAAGACCTACTTAAAGTCATGTAGATTATGATATTTTATATACATGCATATATATATATATATTTTTTTTTTTTAAATTTAAATTACAATTTTGCAATATTTTACACAAACTAATGTTGCGAATAAATAAGAAATATTTGAGATAAAGTCTGTTATTGTGTGTCTTTCAGATATCTGGTCACTGGGTGTGATCCTCTATATGCTAGTGTGTGGACACCCACCCTTTCAAGAGGCCAATGACAGTGAGACCCTCATCATGATCATGGACTGTCGCTACACTGTGCCAAACCACGTCTCTCCAGAATGCAAAGAGTACGTATGTCATCTGAGCTTTAATTTTCCTCAGACACACACCCAACTAAGAAACGGATTTCTCAGATTTAATCCAGAAGGCTGGAGGTTATTGTGTATTTATACACTGCAAAAATAAGTAAATAAAAAACCCTCTTTATCAGTATTTTTGTCTTTTTTTTTTTTTTTACTTGAAGCAAAATTGCATTAAATATTAAGACTTGTTTTCCGACAACATGAGCTTTATTAGTTCATTTTTCTTACTCCATTGGCATTTGTTATTTTCTTCTTTAAAGCATAAACCTCATTACATTTATGCATAAAACAAGAAAAAATATTTGGGGTATGAATATAATTTAAAGATGTATTCTTTGGAAACAAGTAATCATATGTTATCTTATGCAATTTTGCTTCTGACAACAATTAAACTTGTTTTAATGTTTTCACTGGAAAATACGTTTTTGCATTGTGATGAAATCTAAATAGTGTTCTCTTCACCATGATAGTAGTTGGCCATTATGTAACAAGTTTTATTAAATCTGCTTAGTGTTTTCTTCGGGGTCAGCAGATGTCATATATCAATAGTCTTTTCTTTCCATGCTGGTGCTGTCGAGTTCACTATTTCTGGAAACCAATATTACAAAGGACATGACCCTGGTAAAACCCTTTTCACATAGATCTTGCATGCTGATCTGATACATGCCCACAAAAGCTTGCTTGAGTAAATAGACTAGTTTTTAAGATGTCCTTGACAGCCATGTGCCATTGGAACGCAGTGTTTTGTTGTTGTTGTTTTTTCTCTCTGAGAACTGGCATGTTGTAGTCTCTCATGGTCTCTTAAACACCACACCCTTGCGGTCCAGTTTGTACCACTTTCACGCCAAACTTCATACCTACGTGTAGACCGGAGTTCATCTGAACATACTGTACTTTATCTGTTTACACCTGCTTGTACCAGACATACACAGGTTGTGGCTCTCTAAATTATGCTTAAGCAAGCCAACCAGGCTTCTGTTTGGATGAGCAAAGGTTCTTGGAGGTTAGATTTAGGAGCAAGTTATGACAGACACACAGAATTTCCATCCTTGGACCAGGTGATGGATATTGAAAGTAACAGGTCAAGACAACTTCCTCATTTTTTTTTTCATAAGGGCTTTAACTAGATTTTCCAGCTCAATTAGATGCACTTGACTTCTTAACTAAGCGTTAGTATATTATTTGAATCATAACATTGTAATGCTCTTAAGAAGGGTTGGGCATGATTTGGAATTTGGATTTTAATTGAAATCAAGTCACACTTTTTTTTTTGCTTTGCAAACAATACATCATTACATGATTAATTTTTGACTAATTATGACTTTTAATTCCCTCATATAGAATACTTTTGTCCTCAGATGATGAGATTTATTTCTCTAAATTTCGTTCAGTATTTTTATAATAGATTTTACCGTTAAGAACCACAAAATTTATTAAATATTAAAAATCTAAATGGTGCACAAGCCTGCTTTTGTGTTCACTGCAGCTCGATAGTGACCAGATTTTTACACAAGGCTGCCTTTTGACAGAGTGAAGTTATTTTTAAGTGGGTTTATTCCAGGCTATTTGTAGTCAGAACATCCCCAAAGCAACAGCTCTCAGACTTGAGTTTAGGTCTGAATCAGTCAATTGTGCAAGAGTGTGTATACAAGTGTGTGTTAGACATCTGGGCTTGGCTGCACAGCCAAACATAGTGACTGGGTTACATGATCTCCACCACAATCAAAAGCTTCCTTTAATGGGAAGGGTTTTCTTAGAGGAGAACACTTGTGTCTTCAGGCATACTTTCATCTTGCTGTTCATCTGTAGTTCGCTTTTTTCCCCACCCTTCATCCTCACGGCTATTTAAGGTCTTGAGGTTAAACACACCAGGAGACTCTGCTGATGTTCAAGGGCAATGGAGCATGTGGGATTATAAACACAAACACTCAGAGACCTAAAAAACACACTTCGAAAGGGAAAACATCTCCCCCTGCTGGTCATCTATGTAAGATGCATGTTTCAGAAATGTGTGCCAGTACCGCAGTGAAATAAAACACTTAAATTCCTTGAATAAACAAGCTGGGTGCAGTGCATTCACACATACACATGCAAGCTTGGATCGCAAGAGTTCCAACCTATTTCGTATTCTTTTTGTTCGACTCACTGAAGCAACAATTCTTTACAGGTGCTCATGAATATTAATCAGCAGAAAGATAAGCACTTCCTTTTCATTCCGTTTCCTCTGACGGCAAGATGCGCCTGTGCAATCATCGCCTGTCAGCTAGGCAGAGAATATTTATTAAGATTGCTAGAAAAGGAAAGTATGAAAATTGCAAGTAGAGTGAGACTGAAATTAAGTGAGATGGAGGCAAGAGTGATGAAGGGTGACAAAATCAAACCTGTTTGAGAAGATGGGATTTTTATTTTTCCCCTGACAGAAGGTCATGTCTGATGTTCTCATTCTGCTCTGGTAAAAAAAAAGCAATAACAATCTCTCATCATTCTCTCCCTCTTATTTTCCTTTTTTCCTCAGTTTGATTTCACATATGCTGCAGAGGGATCCTGTTAAACGGGCATCTCTCACAGAGATAGAGAGTCACCCTTGGTTGCAGGGTGTTGACCCTTCGCCTTCCGGGTACACAGCCGCCCCGCTTACCTCCCACCACAGCTTGTTACCTGAGGAGCACGAGTTCATATTGCAAGCCATGACCAGTGGCAGCATTGCTGACCGAGATGCCATCCAGGAGTGGGTATCTCTTTATTCTTCTTGGATATTTTCTTTTGGTCTCAGAATAGCGTGGTGTCTTCAGAGTTGCATTAAGTTAATAATGCAAATGTATATTTTGTGATAGAGCACTGGAGGCTGACAGATATAACCACATCACAGCTACGTACTACTTGCTGGGAGAACGACTCCTTCGAGAAAAGCAAGAGCAGCCAAGTCCCTCTCCTGAACAAAGACATACACAGTAAGTTCCTGTATTCTTAAACGTATACATAATTTTGGATCTGAAGGTATTTTATCCTTTTATGTGTTAGAACTAATCTTACCACATAACTCTTGGTACATAAAGGTTCCTAATACATTGTACTGAGTATTGTTATTGGCTACATTACAGGAGACCCATGTCAGAACCCCTGGACTTGGTGAGCCAAGTGCCCCGGACTGATACACTAAGAGGAACACCTCTAGGTCCCTTAGCGCCTCTCGGTTCCTTGTCTTCCGGCTTTGTCCGACGTGGTGTGAGTGAGTCTGGGGACTTGCTTGCTCCCAAACCCAACCATCATGACAACTCCTTCAGTGACTTTTGCAGCACGGCTCCATGCTTGAGCCTCAGTCTGCACCCTCTACCTCCGGACCAACCTACTGTCAAGAGCCTTGGAGCCTTACAGCAGATCTGCGAGGAAGAAGAGGATGAGGATGATGAAAATGAGCAGAACAGGGATGAGGCGAAGCTTGAGGTGGCACCAGGTAAATTGGATCCTCTTCCTTCAACAGATCTCCTGTTAAAACCTTCTAGAACTTCTTTGCAATCAGAGACTCAGAAGAGAACAGGGAGGCCGTCTTGTAAAGTGATGAGAAACTGTGAAACTGTGGCTGAGGAGGAGGAACTTGAGGAAGGGTCGGAAATCATAGAAGAGCAGAAGCCTTTGGATTCAGTGTCTAACATCACTTCTGGCACCATGGAACATCAAGTACAGATGTCCCCAAACACTGAAGCCCATGTGGAAGAGTTAAACCACACAGAGCAACCAAGTAGAGGAAAGGACAAGGGTGTTTTCACCCACCCTAGCTTGTCTTTAGTTGAGCAAGAAGAAGAACAAATTCAAGGTCCAAATATAAATGGACCTCCACCACCTCCCAGACTGGATGTTGTACAGTGCTGCTGGGGACAGCGTGAACCTTCAAAGGACACTCTAGAAAACAACAATAACACCCTAGCCAAATCTCGACTGCTTGAAGTTGGGGTAGTGTCAACCGCTTGTGATTCCCCAAGGTCCCTGCCAAGGAACCACTGTGTGGACCTGGGTCCTGATGGGGTGGAGATGCGTAAGACTGCAGGTGAAGTTGAAAAACCTGAGGAGGTACAACCTAAACCTCAGAAAGGCCTCCAGGAAACCAGGGACACAAATATTGACCCTGCTATCCGGGCTGATCCCAGCAAGGTTAAGAACGTAAACTTGCGAGAATGTCTGCTGCAGTTCCCGCTCTGTGAGAAAGCCTTGTCCTTCAACATTCAGCCCACCTCTAAAGAGAAGCTTCTCCCATTTGCACAGTACAACTGCTGCCATGTGTTGTAGAGATTGTAATCCGAGATCAAGGAACAAACTGATATCAACAGAAACCCTCCAACCTCTACAACCCTGCAACTCTCTGGAGTTGTTCAGACAATAAAAGAAAAAGTGTGTTCTCACCTCATACTGTAACCTCAGAGGTGCTTTTCCACACAATCTACTTATTGTATATCTTTATTTTCTTTCCCTACCCAGCATTCCTTGCTACTTTCCTGTATAACAGTTAACCTCTTGGCAATGCTGTGTATATGAACACCTGTATCTACTGACACTGCTCACTATATTCTGTGCTATCTTGCTAGCGTAGAAGCTTTAATTCAATAACTTGTCATTTTGCACTGTAATATCAATAAGAGTTCCACCGAGTTTAGTCATATCACTAAGCGAGTGAGTGAAGACCATGCTTCAGAACAACACATAAGAAGCCAACACAAAAACAGATGATAAACAATCACAGCAGTGGATGTTTAGACTCAAGAACTAGCCGTTCAGTCTGTGTAGTAGTCCTGACAAGTTTTTTGTTTTCATTTGGTTTGTTTTTGCAGGCAACTGTGAGGCAACGGTCTTTACTCTGAACTTTTAAGAAGCTGCATGCTGTGGCATTGTTGAAGTTGTTCCCACACCACTGTCTCATGCTAGCATGTTTGCTAGCATCTTTACCCTCAGGCAGTGGGGCAGGAAGCAGAAGACGTCGCCACATTGATACATTGATACAGTTTGGGAGCATGGTTATGAGAGCATGCTAAATCAGAACAGCTTAGCGTAGCATTAGCATTTTGTGAGCGGGGGACTGATCAGGGAAAGATGCTAAGTATATCTGTGATATATTTTCAAAAAAACAAGAAGAGGGATCGAACAGAGATTATTCTGAGGTTATGACGAGAGACTTTTTGTGAAATGGACATAATATTACACAAAACAGAAGACTGGTCTTCCTGGAGCTATATTTTGGAGTTTGTTTTAAAACTGCTAATTCTTTTAATATGAATTAATATTTTGAAGCTGTTATCAAGTATTAGAGAGTTATCAAGGGTTTTTTTGGAAAGATGTTGACAAAGACATTTTTTCTTTTCTTTTCTTTCTTTTTTTACATGAGATATGAGAGGGAGATTTATAACATAACATTCTGTTTTTTTTAATCATCTGCCTCTGGGTGCACCTTTAACATGCATTGTAAGGGGATTTGAAGCTGTTTGAAATATCCAGTCATGTACAATGTGTACATATTTTGACCCTTGCACCGTATACATACCAAGCATATCAACCCACCATTTTAGATCTTATTCAGTGAACGTAGCAGTTTGAAAACACTAGTTGACTGACAAAAAGGTCATATAGTTTCTTGTGTCATATTTGTAAATACATTTGAAGAGCTGTATGCTAACGTAACGCTAAATAGCGTAGCTGAGTCTAGCTTAAAATGTACTGTACATTGACAAAATCCAGTCTTCGTATGTTGCAATGGCATGAGTGAAGCTAGCGGTTACTGTTGTTTTTACCTCCTAAACAGCTTAAAGGGGTCATATGATGCTGCTAAAAAAGAACATTATTTTGTGTATTTGGTGTAATGAAATGTGTTTATGCGGTTTAAGGTTAAAAAACACATTATTTTCCACATACTGTACATTATTGTTTCTCCTCTATGCCCAGCCTTTCTGAAACGCGTCGATTTTTACTAAGCTCATCGGTCTGAAAAACACAGCGTCTTCACGACATGGCGGCTGCAACAATACTTACAGCGAGAATAAAAGTTACGCCTTTTTTCTTTGCGTGAGCATTTGGGCGGCGTTATGCAAATCTTTCCACATCGTGACGTAAACATGTGGGGGCGTGTTAGAACGAGCCGTTTTAGGTAGGTGTGGCTGACTCTTAACTTTTATAAAGAATATCTCTTTGGATTTGAGACTTTAGTCTTTGCAACTTTACAGATCTTCTTTATGCACCAAGAGCTTGTAACACTCCAAAGAGAAAGGAAAAATTTAAATCGTATCATATGACCCCTTTAAACACATCTCAAACATTTAGACAGCAAATGTGACTTTGGTTACTGTTACTTTGGTACCCTAAAGGACGTCAAAGCTATTCAGTCATTTCACATGTTCGTAAGTTTCTGCGCACCTGTCACCGGTGAAATATATATATTTTTGTTATTTTTATTTTTTTGGTCACATGTAGACAATGAAAGTGCAAATGTCAGATATTTTTGTTGCAATATCTTGGACCACAGATAAGCTTGACCAAATGCACAAGAACAGATGTAATGATGTAAGGGGTGCTTTGGGAAGAGATAGCAAGAAATATAGACCTATATACACAAATTACATCTCCATAACTTCTGAAATTTTTATTTTCATTCCCATACTACGTTTAATCAAGGAACAGCCATCCTGACCTGGGATGATTTGTAAGTACAACCTTCTGGACCAATCAGAGGGCAGAATGATATAAAGCCAGACATGCACTATATTTTCATAATCAGCATTTTATTTTATTCTTATTTTGAAGTTTCACATTTGACATGGGTCTCCATCCTTCAAATATCTGTAATCGCTTTACAGCGAAAGTTGGATTTGGGTTTGTCTATAGTCCCATTGACCCTTACTAAAACTATGACTGTGTCTCAATGAGATTAATTTATTTTTATATTTATTTATTAAAACTGATTAAACTGCCTCTTGTGTTGTTGTTTAAAAAAAAAAAAAAAGAATTAGTCCACAGCTCCAGTGATCTTCATGTATGGTTATTTATTGTATGATGTGGTTTTCTCAGTTTCTTCAAGTCCACTTACATCACTAAACGTTTACATAACATATTCAGTCAAGCAAGCATTGGGTAGTTATTTATACCAGCAAACTCAGCTGTAATAATACAATCACTTTTGATGAAATGTAAAAATACAAAGGTTAAAATCATCACAATGTATTAATGAAAAATCAAGTAAAAACAAATAAACAAAACAACATCAAGAAAAAAACATTTAAATGAGCTATTCCATAGTGATTGTGGTGAACTTTTGTTTTAAAATCATTAATACAGCACAATATGTCTCCAAGTTTACCCACTATCATAACATTATCTTCCTTGACCTTAATAATCTCTTTACAGTAGTTTTCAGAAAGGTACCACTGATGCAAACAATTATTAACACCGGCTTTATAACCCTGTAAACTGTAGAAGCTATCTTTGGTACACTGTGCCATATGGTACATTAGCAAGCTAAATATGACTTTATAGCCAAGTGCCTCCCTTCTTGTGATTGTTTCTATGGAAATAGTCTTTGGTCACTCTTCCATTTAGGCCTTCGAAGGGAGTTTATCATCCACACGAGAGCGCATGATCCTCTGTGAGACAGAAAACTGTATTTAATGACATTTCCGGTTATCTAAACAGTCAATAACGTACATTAGATTTAAAATAATTTGTTGGTTAATCACATGAGGACTTTAGTCATTGATAAGCCAAGAGCTAGATTACATTTCGTAATAAAAACAGATTACATTCTGCCAGCATTATTATCAAAGTTGGAAAATAGCTAAAAATGACAGGCAAATTCTTTATGGCTGCTCTTGCTAACTATATGCTAACTGCTAAATCTAGCATAATGGTTACTGCAACACTGTTTTTCTCACCTTTGTATATAAATAAACAAAATACTAGCATGCTAAAATGCTAACAGTTAACATTAGTAGATAAAGTTACCTGTTTCTTAAGTGCTTGCATGGAGTGATACTCAATTTGTTCTCTCTTGATTCGGACCCAGTCCGGTTCATCAGGGATCATGACGGCCAAAATCATCTTCACCATGATCAGGACATGCTAGAGGACCCAACCAGCATTAAAAAAATGTACCTTTTTCAGAACAGCTTAGCATTAGCATTTTGTGAGCATGGGGACCGACAGTGATACACTTTCAAAAAATAATCTCACTTGTAATTACAACTTTGTGGTGGCGTCCATGTGTGTTCACTACATAGTAAACAATCTTTAGAAACACTACTTGAACGCACCATTAGTAACATTGATTTAAAGGGACAGTTCACCAAAACTCTCGTTTTGTTACAAATCTGTATGCTGATATTATGTGTTACACAAAAGGCAAATCTTGACATTTTTGTCACAAATTAAGCATGTGGTCACTTTTTTTCATTTTTGGACAGACTATGCCTTCGGCTTTTTCCAAGGCTGTACCAGAATCTTCTCTAACCTCCACAATGACGGCAATGACGAGAACTTTGCTGCTGCTGAGACCGGCATCCTCTGTGAGTTCCTTCACTTGTGGGGACAGAAGCAGCAGCCAACAGTTAGACATGACCGAGATGAAACTCAGCACCTCAAATGCCAGCTATAAAAAAAGACAAATACACACATTAGAACTCACAGTATCATAAAGCATTTAAAACATCCATATATACACAAATCACAGTCTGACCTGCCATACGCCCATGTTGGCCACAGGGGCAGAAAATGGCTTGTTGAAGAGCTTGCAGAGCTTGTAGGCATCTGTGCGGATCTCGGTGAGGTTGTTGAGCAGTAACAGAGGGGCAGTGAGAGGATAGACGCAAGAGAAAAGACTCAAGTAGCCAAACTGAACCAGAAGCTCGATGTATTCAGCAAACAGGCCCTGAAGAGGAACAAGATTGAGAATTTAAGGAAAATACAATTCCTGTGTTCTTGATATTTGAGCTCATTTGATTGCTACTCACTGGGAAAGCCGGCAGACTGCCCTGAGCCTGGAGATGGTCCACATCTGGATCATCTTCCTTCAGGTTCCTGTCTGCAGATGTGAGGAAACGGTCCACCAGGAAAGGAACCACCACCTCAGTGAACTGATTCACCACTTGGGTCACGATCAAAAGAGAGGAAAGTCTCTGTGGAGGAAATCATGGATATTGTGTTAATGGAAATCGTAGGATTATATGCGAGCACGGTTTCTGAGGAAATTCCCACCTTGCGCAACAGAGGCAAGTCCTCCTTGAAGAAGGCAATGTGGAACAGCACAGCAAAGTTATTGAAAAAGGTGAACTGAATGAGAAAGAGAGATAGATAAGGAACATGAGACATTTAGTATTACAAAGAGTCCTGCAGAACATTCTGGTCTAGACATATACAGCTATCAGCATTTAAAATACGCTTAAGATCTTTGAGGTAAAACACCTGCTATGAAGCACACACTAACAGGTCATTTAGAAAAGGCGGTTTGTAAAAAAAAACATCATATGGATATGTAGACTAGAGAATTATAAAACTCACCACAAGGACTTTGGTGGTATGATGATAGTCAAAAGATGATGCCTCCCTATGATTTTCTGAAAGACGAGAGAGTTAGTTATTTTTAATATAGTATAACTTTAATATGTGTGTGTGTGTCTGTGTGTGTGCGTGTTTTCTGATTTCTAAAATTGTTATTTAATTATTATTATAAATAATAATTATTAGAAACGTTTAAAACATTGATAAATTCAATATTTTATATATTTTAATAAAATAAATTATTTAATAAAATTGTCAAACAATTGTTATTGCATATTATTCTAATATATATATATATATATAATATATTATATGCTAGATTATATAATATATGAAAGATATATATATTACTATGACACACAAGCCAGAAGAAACATTTTCAGTAGGTGTTTATTTTCTGGGGGAAAAAAGAAATAAAAATATGAAATATAATATTAAGTTAACTATAACCAAAGTTAAGAAGCAATAGTTAATCTGAAGTGTGCATTTTAATTATTTCTACAGAATACATATTCCAATTATTATATCCTATAATTTATATTTTTACTATTTTATTTTAAAAATATTTATTTTTTATTTATTTTACTTCATTTTTATTACTAACAGAATATTTAGCAAAATATGAAAAGATGAAATCATTCATATATGATATTTATATTATAATTTTGTATAATAATGTTATATTATTAAATATAATTACAGTAAAAAGCTAATAATAAACAAACTTAAATTAAAATTCACATTAATTTAATTGAGCAAAATAAGTTTAAAAATACGCTTTCATTATATGCCGTTGTTTTGACAACTATTGAGTAATTTTAGTATTGAGAAAAGTTATTTTGCCTGATCTTTTTCTTACCTGCTTCTGTTAGCTGCAAGGCCACGTTGCGATATATATTCCCAAGCACATTAGTGTAGAGTATATGGGCTATAGAAGGGAGGTACAGCAGGACTGCTGTGAAGTATGATTCAGATGCTTTGTGCCAGCCTGAGACCAGGCGCTCAAAGAAGTAGAAACCTGCCATCCCCATGACCACCAGACCCAAAAACACCCCAACCACGGGCACTGACACCACACCTATCCTAAGCCTCCTCTTCCATTCAGGAAACAGTGGCTCCAGTCTGCCCGTGACCGGATTGGTGCTGAGTTCTCCATGGAAACCCGGTCGGGGCTCTTGAAATTGTTCAGCTAAATTGAAAGTGCCCCAGTGATAGGATAAAGCCGCGCTCCTCCTCTTCCACAGCTCCATGAATACCGTGG